TGGCGGAGATGGGCATCTAGCTGATGGGCTACAGAAGTCTTATATAGTAGATAACAGCCTACTACTGAGTCCACTGGCTCCTGTGAAATCTCAGTCATTTCACAGAATCACTATGATTTGCACAACTGCAAATCAAAACTGAACCAAGAGCTTGATCTCACTAAGGACCAGAGAGCTTTGCAGAAATTCACGCTTTCTCCAACAGATTTGAGCCATCACCTACCACTTTTAACAAAAACAGTCAAGAACCACTCAAGAAACTCTCTTTGGGAGAATGCCTGAACCCATACTGAGGCCTTCCTCAGGCCTGCCACTGGAAGCCATCCAGACAGATCAGAGGATTTTGGCTTTTGGGCCTGGACTCATCTTGCATCTAGCAAGAATTGACAGATGAACACCTAGCAGTTCTTCAGCACATAGTCTACAGCCTATCAGCTACCCAGATGAAAGAGTAAATCCATTGCTCACTGGAGACACTGAAGACATGCTATTTGAAGCACTACATGTAAATACCATTCAGAAAATTCCAAACACAACAAGTCAGTACCATGAAGGGCCTTGAACTGCATTTTCCAGGCACAGGTGGTGTTTATCTGAAGTCTAAGACGACCGAGTTGTGTATTGCCATGGACTTTCTATCATCACTACTTCTTGTTCACTCTTGCCAATTTTAGAACAGTCTGTAAGGTCTCCTTTATTAGAAGTATTTAATGCCAAAATACTAAAATTATCTGGAATACTCCGAAACACAATCTTAGACTAATGTTATACTCATTTACTACTACATGCAAAATTTAAATAGCATCAAAAAAGGAGCGTATTGAGGTATTACAAGGAATCTTGAAGCCTAGTTTTTAAAGCAAAATCAGCACTGAGTTTCTGCATGACTTCTGCAGGACTCAGCCCATGCTGCTCTCTCTTAGTAAGCCCACAGTTTTCTTCCACATGCTTTGCAAAGGGCGTTAGATGTGTCCTAGCAGGAGTGCCACCTTTCTGAGTGGGCCGACTCAGGACCAGCTGCCCCCCACAGAATGCGCATACAAAGCGCTCTGTGTCCAGAGACTTGGAATGACGTCCAGTCCTGAAATGGAAAAATAAGCACTTTGATTTCACACTTGCAGTAGACAGTACTTGTAAGAAAGGGCTCCTTTCTCTTCTGCTGAGCTGCTCAGGTCAGATTTCTAAGATAGCATTTTAGAACAAGGAACAGACTACATACTTCACACAATAGAACAATCAAATCTGTATTACACATTTCTCTACCCTAGAACTTTTTCCACTGTCTTTTCAACTTGGGTCCTTCCTCTGTCTCTTTTACTCTCAGCCTAGTAGTATAAAGCGCTACAACATTTCGAAACACCTCCACAACCCATGTACCAACTACGCCTCCTTCAAGTTTCTCCTCAAAGCCATCACCATCAAATCTTATCGTAGAATCAGAATGGTTTGTGTTGGAAAGGACCTTAAGCTCATCTAGTTTCAACCCCTGCCACTAGAGCAGGTTGCTCCAAGCCCCTGTGTCCAGCCTGGCCTTGAACACTGCCAGGGATGGGGCAGCCACAGCTTCTCTGAGCACCCTGTGCCAGCGCCTCAGCACCCTCACAGGGAAGAGCTTCTGCCTCAGAGCTCATCTCAGTCTCCCCTCTGGCAGGTTAAAGCCATTCCTCCTGTCCTGTCCCTACAGGCCCTTGTCAGAAGTCCCTCTCCAGACCTCTTGCCAGCCCCCTTTAGGTATTGGAATCTTCTCAATGCTCTGTTGCATCTAAGTAACTAAGGCATTGCATAATCAGATTAACCACTTCAGGAAGATTCTTTTATATGTGAAATGCTCTTTCCTTCTGGTGCTTCTGAAAGTAGCACATATAATCCTGAGGGGGAAAAAAAAATCCCATGCATGCTTTCTAAGGATGCATTTAGCCCTTAAAGGGGAGGGGGAGAAGGGGGAGATAATTTTTTTTATGTGTTAAAAACCCCCACACTTTCCCCGACTACGCAGAACTGAATTCACAAAACTTCATGCTCTCCCACTGAGACCAAGATGATTGCATACAGAAGCCTGAGGTCAGCTATGATCTTCCAGAAAAGGTGACACTTTCCACACCCATGAAAGGTAAAAAACCTGTGAAATTACTACAGCAACTATTTCTTCTGCTTGATCTCAGCAACATATATAGTTCTCATTTCACAAATACAGTAAGCAAGACAGAAGTCTGATGACCACTGTTGCAATTTAACAGTAGATTTGTGTTCAACTTCAGTTCTTCACATTACAATGCTGCTGACACCTGTGTGGCTGCAGACATCTATTTTCATTTAATAGATACACAAGCTGAAAGAGTCCATGAAGTAAAAGATCAACTAGAAAACTTACTATAGCTTTTACTATAGCTTTTATAGTTTTAAACCAACAGAAATCATTATATTGTTGGTGTCCACATTTTACTTTACCATAACAAATACACGAGATTAGGCAAAATGTTTATTCTCAATTCAAAGTCAAAGATACAAAACCCAGAAAGTTTCTTCTGGTACTTTATTCTAGTATCTAATTACTGTGATGCATTTTGTGTCTAGTTTTTATGGGGACTTGTTCCATTTTTGAGTCTAGTTTCTACTGACTGACTTCCTTCAGCATCAGATGGTCCTCAGTATCTTTACAAGGATGAGCATATAAAAAGCAACTCAATCGACTGTGCCATGTCTAGTACTCCCTGGGGACTGTTTTTCCTTAGACCAAACCTACACTGTTGTCATGGCACATTCAAAGTAACATTCAAACATGTTACTTTCTAAAACGTAAAATGTGAATAGATGTCAAAAGAACTTGGAATGGCTCATTTCTGCAACACATGCCTGTACTTTACTCACATGCATTCTACAGGGATGTGCCAGATCCATTTGTTGTTCTATCAGTGTAGGCCTACAAGTATTACTCCTGATATGGTTTAGAGGTGGACTTGGCAGTCCTGGGATAACAGAGTTGACCTTAAAGGTCTTTTCCAAACTAGTTGATTCTCTGATGTAGTACTTAGATAAGAGTGGAAATACACCCCCTACCAAAAAGCCTGTAATGGGATCAGAGTTGATCATGAAATCAGAGTTAAGTGGTCAAAAACTTTCACAAGTTCACTCAATACTAACTGCAGTAGAAGGTGAATCGAAATTTACATCATTTGATCAAGGTTTGAAAAGTGAGAGCAGCCACATGAGGTGTCCTTTTCCTGCCATGTCATTAAAAGCCAAGGCACATATTCTGATCTCTTACTGCTTACCAAAGACCTTCCATCATCACCAATGGTTCTCAGAAGACACTTCAGCCTGTCCTAACTTCTGAAATGGAAATGAAACTACCTGAAAACAAACATGTGGAATGGCATAATGAGGTTCTTTGGGCTCAGGAAGTGCAAAGTGATGACTCAGAGTACCCCAGTTTAAGAGACCCATCATTTCCAGATATAGGAGAACTGCCAAATTAGAGACAAAGTTAATCATATGCAAGACCAAAACACTACTCACGTAGCTTTGCACAGAACACACTCATAGATGAATTTGTAATTAATCTCATAGCTGTGGCAACGTGTTACTATCGGCAGTTCTGGATGAATCACAGCTGATTTACTGGCATAATATCTCCAGAATCGTCCATGTCCATCGCGAACACCATTGATCAGCCAGGTGGCTGCATGGCAAGCCTCATGAACCAGCGTGTCTCGAAGACGATCTTGGGGTAAGGCAAACAATGAAGATCAGTCAGGTACGGGGAAGTACAGACTTTCATCCTTGGTCACTGCTTTAACAGTCATTCTTTATGAAGATGCAAGACTTCATCAGGGATTGTAGTGATAGGACAAGGGGTGATGATGGATTCAAACTTAAACAAGGAAAGTTCAGGTTTGCTATAAGGAAGTAGCTCTTTACTGTGAGGGTGCTGAGGTGCTGGAACAGGTTGCCCAAGGAAGTGGTAAATGCTCCATCCCTGTCAGTGCTCAAGGCCAGGTTGGACAGAGCTTTGGGTGAAATGGTCTAGTGAGAGGCATCCCTGCCCATGGCAGGGGGTTGGAACTAGATAATCTTGGGGTCCTTTCCAACCCAAACCATTCTATGATTATTTTGGAGGTTGGAATTACCAATGTTTTGATCACATAAAGTGTCCCAAAACAAGATTTTACTCAGAGGATTTCTAGTTTTGTGATTAGCCCTAATTCTGCATCCTAGTTACTTCCCTAGTTTGGGTTGGTTTTTTTTTTTTTTTTTATTTTCCGATTTTTTTTTTTGGTTTGTTTTTTTGGTTTTTTTTTTTTATTTTGGTGGTTTGGGTTTTTGTTTGGTTTTTTTGGGGTTTTTTTTTCTGTATATGACAACTTAAACACCTTTATTTAGACCAAGATTCACTGATTTTTTTTTTGTAACATTGACATTTTTCCTCCAGAAACAACTAGAGCAGAGCACTAAATTTTCTCCACAATTAGAATAGAATATTTCAGTTGGAAAGGACCTACAGTGATCATCTAGTCCAACTGCCTGACCAAAATTTAAGTCGTGATATTAAGGGCATTGTCCAAATGCCTCTTAATCACTGACAGGCATGGGGTGCATCAACCACCTGGCACAGCTTTGAACCATTTGTCACTCCTCATAGGCCATTTCTTCCAGACCTTTCACCAGCTTTGTTGCCCTCCTCTGGATGCATTCAAGTACCTTCACGTCCTTATTACATTATGGGGCCCAGAACCACACACAGCACTTAAGGCTACACCAAAGCTGAGTACAGCAGGACAGTGACTTCTTTTCACCAGCTAGTTATACTGTGCTTGATGCACCCCAGGATGCCGTTTGCCCTCTTGACTGCCAGGGCACACTGCTGGCTCTTATTGAGCCTGCTATCAACCAGCACCCCCAGATCATTTTCTGCAGAGCTGCTCTCCAGCCACTCCACTCCCAGTTTATACTTACGCCCAGCCTTACTCCATCCCAGGTGCAGAATCTGACATTTGGACTTGCTAAATTTTATCCCATTAATCATAGCCCAATGCTCCAATCTAGCTAGATTCCTCTGCAAGGCATCTTGTCCCTCAAGAGTTAACAACACCTCCCAGTTTGGCATAATCAGCAAACGTGCTAACGGTGCATTCATCTCGTGCATCCAGGTCATTGATAAATGTATCAAACAGGACTGGCCCTATAATCACACCCTGAGGAACACCACTGGTAACCCGTTGCCAGCCACATGTAGCCCCATGCACTGCCACCCTTTGAGCTCTGCCCTTCAGCCAGTTCTTCACTCAGAACACCATGAACCTATTCATCCAACAGTTGGTCAACTTGTCCAGAGGGATGCTGTGAGCGACAGTATCAAAAGCCTTACTAAATTCCAGAGAAACTACCTCCGCTGCCTTCCTTCATCCACTAGGTGGGTGACCTTATAGCAGGATATCAAATCAGTTAAATAGGCCTTTCCCTTTGTGAACCCATGCTGACTGTGTCTTATGTTGCATTATTCTTTAAATGTCTTTCAATAGTACCCAATACAATCATCTCCATCATTTTTGCAGAAAGTGAGGTTAGACTAAGAGGTCTCTCGTTTTCTGCATCTTCCCTCATGTCCTTCTTGCAAATTAGAATAACACTGGCTGGCTCCCAGTCAGCAGGGACCTCCCCAGGCTCCCAAGACCTTTTGCAGATAATCAAGAGGTGTCCTGCCATAACTTTCACTAACTCTTTCAGTACTGTGCAGTGAATCCCATCAGGCCCCACGGACTTGTGACATATATGTGGGCATACAGCTTGCTCTTGACAATTTCAGTGTCCACACTTGTAGTCCTCCAAGTCAGGAGAATGAGCAGCCCGAAGTCAGACAGTTCTAGTAAAGACTGAGGCAAAAAGTAGCATTGAATGCCTCTGCGTTTTTGTTCATCCCTATTAGTCAGCTGACCACAAGCATCAGACCAATGTTATCTGTAGACCTCCTCTTGCTATTAACTTACTAAAAAGCCTTCCTTGTTACCTGACAACACCGGCCAGTTTCAACTCTAAATGAGCTCTGGCTTTTCATGTCTTCTCCCTGCATATAAAAACCACAGCTCTGTAATCTTCCTGCAAAGCCAGACCTAACTTCCAGAAATCATACAATTTCTTTCTCCCCTTGACTTCCACAAGGAGTTTCCTGTTCAGCCAAGCTAGTCTCCTGCCCTGCTTGCTTGACTTACGACACAGGATTGTCTGCTCCTGTGCTTCTAAAAGGTACTTCTTAAAAACTGATGAGCACTTGTGGACTACTAAGCCCTCAAAAGCAGATTCCCAGGTTACGCTGTTGTATCTCAAGGGCAGTTGTATGCTCCTGTTCTGGAGCACTTCTCCTCTGGAGACAGGCTGAGAGAGTTAGGCTTGTTCAGCCTGAAAAAGGGAGGGCTCCGGGGAGACCTTGTAACAGTCATCCAATATATAAAGAGGCTGACAAGAAGTCTGGAGAGGGGCTTTGGTCAAGGGCCTGTAGGGACAGGACAAGGAGAGTGGCTTTAACCTACCAGAGGGGAGATTGAGATCAGCTCTGAGGCAGAAGCTCTTCCCTGTGAGGGTGCTGAGGCGCTGGCACAGGGTGCCCAGAGAAGCTGTGGCTGCCCCATCCCTGGCAGTGTTCAAGGCCAGGTTGGACACAGGGGCTTGGAGCAGCCTGCTCTAGTGGAAGGTGTCCCTGCCTGTGGCAGGGGGCTGGAGCTCGATCAGCTTTAAGGTCCCTTTCAACACAAACCAGTCTGTGATTATATGATACTATGATCTCTCAAATCAGATTTATTAAGCTTACTTAAAAATATTCTATCAATTACAGAACTGGTTCTCCTATGGTAACCGCAACATTAATTTCCCCAAATTGAGAGGGGATGAGGGAGAAGTAAGTTACAGTACCCACCACACAACAGAACTTAATTTGACACTGACCTATCTTTATTCCAGCTATAAATACTACCAAGAAGGTGGCTAGCTATGATGGACGAGTCAGATTTTAGATTGCCATTACAGTACATATAGGAGTAATCTATAGGTCTTCAAATCAGTAATATAAGCAAAATATTGCAGTTAGCATTAATATATCTCTGTTCTCACATTTTTGTAAATTTGTCTGGCCTCTCAGAAGGGTTGTGAAGACAAGTACTACAATCAGCGGAATTACTTATTCAAGATAATATGAAATATCAAAGCATGGTCCTGTTCCATCTCAGTTAAGCCTCGCATTCATGTTTTGATCTCTAGAACTTGCTCTCCCAAAGAAGAATCAACATATCTTTTCTTTTACCTACCTGCAGAGTCACAGACTTTCTCAGAGAGTTCTATGCGAGCGTAACGCTTTGCTTCAGGACCTTCTGTCTGCCCAGTTACACAATATCCTGCTGTTTTTCTCATTTTCTTATTCCAGATTATTTCCATTTTGTCTGGTAACTGGAAAACAAAACAGTATGTGTAATCTGCCCTCTCCTACACTTCTCTTTCTAGACCTCTGTCTTTCCCTTATATTTACTGCAAACCCAGTAGAGGATGTGCCTGTTAGTGCCCTTAACACTCTTGTCACTCAAGATGAAAACCCACTCTCCCTCTCATCATTCCCATCATCAGTTTTTCTGTAACCAACACTGAGTTTCACAATGCACGATGAGACAAAAAGTCCCTTGACTCCTCTATTCTGCCTCCAACAGTGGCTAACACATGCTGCTTAAGAGGAAATACAAGGTCAGACATGAAAGAGAATTTCCTCTTCAAAAAAGATGACTTCTGTTTTCGCAAGTCATTTTGCAAGACAACACCTCACTGAGACACAGGTGGTTCCTTTGTATTAAACAGCCCTTAAAAGTGTTTTCTGGTGTTTCGGAGAGTACATGTGTGTATGTTCTTAAACACATGCATGGTTAGCACACAGACTACAATAATAGTCTAGTACCAGAAGTTCTACTGCATAATAATTTAGAGGTCAAGTACAATTTGCTTTGGTTGTTCTGAACCTGCAACTTGCCATTTTAATTTGATGCACCTTCACACTGTGAGAGGGTGAATAATCACCCCTTGCTTATTCTCTGTGCTGCTCCTGATATTATAAGCCCTCGTAATATCTATCTTAGTTAACTCTGTTATTTTACGAACAGGTTTTTTGTCATCCAAATTAGTTAATGAGCTTAAATAAATGGTCCAGCAGTAGTTAAATGCTAGTACAGGTACAAGGCTGAAGCACTGGGGAGCAAGATATTTTGCTTTCAGCAGCAGTGAGCCTGTTCAGCTCTGCTCTCATGACCTCAATGTGTCCTTGGCCAGCTCAACAACATTTTCTTAGCTGCACAGAAAACTTTTCCTTCCTGAAGAAAATGCTACTGCAGTTACTGAGAGCAGCATCCTTCCTTCCACAGATGTTTCTCACTAGAGAGTCTCCAGTATTCCAGAAGACGTAAAGGTCAAGACAGCAGTTCTCTGAAATTGAACCTTCAATTTGAAATACAATGTACAGCTTTAGGTTCACCCAAAACTGTTAGTCAAAGAATAAGCAGCTTTTTAATCTGTTCCAGAATAGCAAACATGAACACGCAATAGGAATGAACAAAGACTGCATGTTGCATGCATAAGCATGAGGCAACAGGCCCTAACAACAAAGGAAAGAGCTTTTACCCATCAGCTAGCTCCCTTATCCCCAACATATGCTCCCACCACTTGCCTTTTGTCAGCTGCAGGCTAGAAAGTTGTGTTGCCACTAGCTATTAGGCTGTCATAATGCTGAAAAGTTCACTAGTACGTGTTACTTCTGTAAAAGTTTAATGAGCAACAGTGGTATGAAGCATTCTTTCAGCAGTAGAAAGCCATAGCTGCCTTTGCTAGGGTCTATTACCACAGAGGTAGCAATAGAAACATTCTCAGGCTGCTCAGCTGACAACCATGCAGGTACTATGAAATCCATGAAGGTAAGTATCAGTCACCTATTCAAACTGATCAAAGGCCCCTCATGTAGCAGTTTCTCTCATCAAGGACTCTTGGACAACATCCAGGCTGCTCGCTTACAGATGGTACACTGCTACAGCTGGGAAAGCAAGCCAAGCTGTAAACCTCTGCACCACAGTGGTGATAAAACCCTTTCAAAGGAATCGCTTGAACTAATTCAAACATAAGCCATTCCTATAAAGCTAACTTCCACTAACTGAAAAGGATAAAGAGCAATCACATCAAAAAGCGAGGAGCAACATTTTAACCAGCATTTTAGAATTGTAGATTTTGTTTTGAAGCCAACCTTCTGCTCAAAGATGGTACTATTATACAGGCAGTAGAGTTTCCATGCCAGCTCCTCTTTATTTTTCTTGAAATACTTCACATAGTGGGAACCTGGATTTGAGAGATCTTGCAAGAAACAGCCAGGCACTGAGCACACCCTGAGCCTGCAAGAAAAAACATAAAGCAGTTTACAGAAGTAAACTGAAAAATAATAGTCACTTTATAACGAGTAAAGATCTCTGGGACGCTGCCAGTGGCATAAAGCTCTCCTGACTTTTCTCTGGCTTGCCCTCAGGAAGCTAATGGGAACCACAGGCTTATAGTGCCTTCTTCCCCCTTCAGGGGCAAGAAGGAGAAGAGCTGTTACGATAGAATCATAGAATGGTTTGGGTTGGAAAGGACCTTCGATCATCTAGTTCCA